TGGCAGACAGCCATGGACGCAGAGATGGCATCTTGGAAGTCCACAGGCACTTACGTCGATGAGGTTCCCCCTCCAGGGGCGAACATCGTTGATGGCATGTGGATTTTCAGGGTGAAGCGGCCGCCAGGTTCTCCGCCTGTCTTCAAGGCTCGTTACGTTGCTCGAGGCTTCAGTCAGCGAGAGGGAGTCGACTTCTTCCAGACCTTCTCCCCCACCCCGAAGATGACCACACTTCGGGTGCTGCTGCACATTGCCGCTCAGCGTGACTACGAGCTTCACTCACTGGACTTCAGCACAGCCTTCTTACAGGGCAGCCTGCACGAGGAGATCTGGCTGCGCCGCCCACCTGGCTTCACTGGGTCGTTCCCTCCTAGTACCCAGTGGAGCCTCCGGCGGCCAGTCTATGGTCTCCGCCAGGCGCCTCGTGAGTGGCACGACACACTGAAGACGACACTTGCGGCTCTTGGGTTTGCTCCTTCGACTGCTGACTCGTCGCTGTTTCTGCGCACCGACACTTCGCTGCCGCCGTTCTACATCCTCGTGTACGTCGACGACTTAAGACCTGGGTGAGCTGCAGAAGAGACACACGTGCACAGACCTGGGTGAGCTGCGCAGCTACCTTGGCTTGCAGATCACCCGGGACAGAGCACGCCGCACCATCACTCTGACTCAGTCACACATGGTGCAGCAGGTCCTTCAGCGCTTCGGCTTCACCTGGTCCTCGCCACAGTCCACTCCTCTGGCTACAGGTCACTCGCTCTCAGCTCCACCTTCGAACGAGTCCGTAGAGCCGAGTGGTCCTTACCCAGAGTTAGTGGGCTGCCTCATGTACCTGATGACCTGCACTTGTCCTGACCTTGCGTACCCTCTTGGCCTTCTGGCCCGTTACGTGGCTCCTATTCGACACCGAAAGGTGCACTGGGATGCTGCGAAGAGGGTACTGCGCTACTTGTGCAGTACGTCGGGCATGGGGCTCGTGCTTGGAGGGCGGAGAGACGTGGTTCTCACTGGGCACTCGGACGCTTCTTGGGTTGACGACCAGGCTACACAGCGGTCGTCACAGGGTTACACTTTCAGCCTTGGCTCCGGTTCTGTTTCTTGGCGTTCTACTCGCTCGTCTTCTGTTCTCAGCTCCAGTTGTGAGGCTGAGATCTACGCCATAGCCATGGCTGCACAGGAGTTACGCTGGCTCACTTACCTGCTGACTGACCTGGGAGAGCGGCCTCGTTCTCCTCCAGTTTTGTACGTCGACAACAAGGCCGCCATTGCCTTGTGCGAGGAGCACAGACTGGAGCACAGAACGAAGCACATCGCTCTGCGTTACTTCCTGGCTCGAGAGTTGCAGCAGCGGGGTCAGCTTCGCCTTGCTCACGTGGCCACCCGGGCCAACACTGCTGATATATTCACCAAGGCGCTTTCGTCTGGTGATCATCAGCGCTTTTGTACCCTGTTAGGCCTTGTGCCTACGTTTCCACACTTGCTGTAGACTCTGCTTGTACTGTGATCTCTATATATATATCTGCATGCTTGCTCTTGCTAGGTAGAGATCACTGTGCTGTTCTTGTTGCATATATACTTCTGCATGTGAACTGGCCTTGTGGCCCTTTGCTTGTGCTCAGAGTGTGTGGTGACGTTGTGATCCACCCTGAGCTTGCTTTGCTTCTCTAGACTGGTCTTGTGACCCCTTGTTCTCCCCCACTTTGCCTATGGGAGTGTGTCAAACTATATATGTTATACTTGTGTAGGCTGTAGTGGGGTAGCCAATATGGGGTACAACCCCTCTAGGGTTTGTTACTTGTACCCAACCTTCTTTCAATGCATTCATTCTTGCCTAGACTTTCTAACACTATACATAACATCATTCCGCATATGCATTATGGAAAAAAAAAAGTCACTCGTTCACAGTAATATAGTTTTGGCAATCCATACAGTCAGGGCAAACTAGGAAACGAGAAAGAATATAGTACAGCATGTACTAAAATGCCATGGCAAATATATAGCAGTCAAACACTTAGCTCCCATTCGCAAGGTTTTTTTTTCATTATTTTTTTATATGATGAAAAAAAAATTGTACATAACGATTGTAATAGGTTGCTTCGCAACCCAAAAAAATGATCCTACGGACCTACTGCTATGAAACCATCTCAGCAACTACAAGCAAGAATGATTGAACTAGAAGGAAGTTGAGTACAAGTATGAAACCCTAAAGGGGCTATACCCCACATTGGCTACCCCACTACAGCTCACACATATATAACACATATATAATTTGACAAGCGGCTGCTAGGTGCCAAGGGGTGTTAGTCCTTTCAAGTGAAAATAAAAAATTGAGTATTGCTGGGTGCGGAAAATGCGTGGTTCGAAAGGGTAAGTTGCTCTGATAGCCAAGTGTTACAGGTGCAGTGAATCGAAGTAGCGAGAATTGCACTGAGGTGTCAAACGAGTACAAAATATGAGCAAAGGCATGAGTGAATACTCATACGAAAACATTCAAACGGTATCGCGGTGCGTGCGAGCAGCTAGTGTGATGCTGTCATCGAGGTTTGGGCTAGTCCCGACGCGTAGGCAGGGCTGATTTTATCAGGGTAATTACCCTGATTTCAGGGTGATTACATGAATGTCACTTGGTGGAACCTGCAATCTCAGTTTTTTAACTTTATGAACTCTGATCCATTCAGATTAGGTACTTAACGAACTCTGAAATTTTGTAACTAGGCTCAGAGTCGTGTACTAGCCGACTATGTCTATGTAGAGTATGCGTTCGCTGGACCCTGAATGCGAGAGTATCGGGAGGAAGGTTCCTCGAAGTTTCGTCTCGATAACCCCTCTCAGTGCGTAATTATTACTTCGCGTGGCCCCAGATTGCTGGACCGTGAATGCGTGCGAGGGTTTCGGGAGGAAGCTTCCTTGAAGCTGCCTTTCGATAAACCCCCCTTGGGGGTTATCATTACTTCGCGTGGCCCTACCGAGGTACCCCCTTCACGCGCGGGAGTGTGACGTAATACAGACAAGGAAATACACCCCCGTGCTGTACATCACAGCTGGCAACACCGACAACGCACCGAAATCAATGATACAGTGCTGCCACGCGCACCGCACAACGCACAGCATGCATCTGCCATTGGCCAGCACGGCCTCTTGACAGCATGCGGTGGCAGCCACGCAGCCAGTGGATGAATTCGGCCTTGAATGGAAGGCCGAATTCATCGGCCAATGTTGCCATCAAGTCGTTGATGGCGCGCCGCGGTGGTTTCTTGCTGACCCCACCATCTCCAAGCTTCCCTTCCCACCCTGCTCCACCAGCCGTGATTCCAACAAGAACCTCCTTTTCTTTCCATTCCGTGCTTTCAATCTCTCATTTCCCTCTCGCTTTGATTAGCCACCAATCTCGCCGCCATGGAGGCCATGCCGGCCGACGAAGCTGCTCCAGAGGCTGGCCCTGACGAGCCACCTGTACCGGCGAAACCTGTAGGCCCGTCCCAGCCGGAGATAGCCGCGGATGCTCCGCGTTCTGGGCTCGATTTTCTGCGAGCTACGGCTGCTCCCGTAACACCAGAGCCGCCAAGGTCCACAGTTCATGACTCTGCCGATGTAGTAACACCTACCCCTACTGAATCTCCCACGCCTGTCGCGTTCACTCTCCCCCCGGCTGTTGCTGGCTGCAGCAAAGACCCTCCACCGCCCGCGACCAGTTCCACTCCAAGCACGGTGCGGGTCTCCCTCGGCCCGCCGTCGGCATCTTCCACTCCCAAGCGGGCGCGATCCGGGAAGTGGTCGCAGAGTACTCTGGTGGTGGGGGGCCGCCGTATTCCACCGCCTGAAAAGCCTGTTGAGCCTCCACCGAAAGAAGCTGAGCTGCCGGAAGAAGGTGACATCCCCGTGCGCGCGGATACCGGCTCACCCCCTCTCACGAAGGCGCAGCTGCGCGAGCAGATGTACTTGGAGGCGAGTATTAATTACGAGACGAAGTGGTCGGGGTCCTTCTCGTGGCTCGTGTTTGGAAAGACCAAGGATGGTTTCCCCTACGTGAAGTGCAGCATCTGCATGTCGTACGGTAAGGGGAACACCAGGTACGCGATGCCAGGAGACGACGGCGGCCGTGTCCTGCAGACTCAGTCGTTCCGCGCGCACGAGCATACGGACGCACACACGGCGGCGGTGGACCGGCAGATGAAGATTGCGGCCGGAATTCGCGAAGGGCAGCAGGTGATTTCGGACTTCATCAACTCCGATGTGGAGGGCCGCCGCGCGATACGACTCATGCGGTCGACACAGTTCCTGTGCTAGTGTGACGCGCCGATAAGCATGTTTCCAAAGCTGCTGCGGCATCTCGCGGAGCAGGACACGCCTGACATTCCACGGCAGTCGTACGGCGTGTATCTCACGCGGTATGCAGAAAAGAGTGCAGTGTATACTATGTATGTTGCACACATGATTGAAAGTGTATTGATTACTTCCTTCGTCTTGTTGCAGGTACGGTTTCCAGCAGATGGTGCACAGCATCAGCACCTACCTCACGCGGGTGCAGATGGACCACATCCTGGCATCACCGTTCCTGGGCATCCAATGCGACAAGAGCACTGACCGCACGCGAGGGAAACACATGATTGTCTACCTCACTTTCCTGAAGAACCGCCAAGTCGTAACCGAGTTCTTCACTTTGCTGACGGTCGAGCGGTGTGATGCAGGGTCTCTGTTTGAGGTGCTCATGAACCATCTCCGCGCCGTTGCCGTGGATGTCTCCAAGATCGTCGGCATCAGCACGGACGGGGCGTCGGTAATGATGGGCCGAGAGAACGGCTTGGTTGCGCGTCTACGGGAACACGTCCTGCATCTGTTTTCCTGTCACAGCATCGCACATCGGTAAGTGAGATGGTCTCGGTTGCCACTTGGTGTCCCACTGTGCGTTATTTATTAACTAACGTTGATTTGTGTTCCCTGCTCGCCACAGTGAGGCGTTGGCTGTGAAGGACGCCGCGGAATCGAACCCGGATCTCGGCATGGTCGACAAGGTGGTGCGCACCGTGGCGACGCTGCTCGGAAACTCCAGCGTGTGGAGTCAGCGGTTCAAGTACCTGCAGCGTGTGATTTACAAGACCAACCTGGAAGTCGAAGGGATCCACACGGTGCGGTGGCTGTCTCGAGGTGATGCGGTGGGGAGGCTCTGCAAGGTTCTCGGCGCATGCATCGTCCTCCTCCGGGAGCACAATCACAAGGCATACGAGATCGTGACCTGCTACAAGTTCCAGTTCTGCCTGTTCTTCTTGGCCGACATCTTGGCGGACATGAACGACCTCAACCGATGCTTCCAGCGACGAGAGGTAAAGTCGCATGTGTAGCTATTGTTGCGCCGCTATGTTTCTTACCACACAGTTGCTCATAACGCTCCCTGTTGTTCACACCGTCTCCTCTGACAGCTGGAAGTGACAGAGATTGTGAAGACGATCGAGTCAACCACGGGGGACCTGACGGAGCGCTACTTGACGCCTGAGAAGGCTTTCGGGGGAGAAGGGAAGAGCTGGCTGGTGAACTTCCTCAAAGTCCACAAGGAGGGTGGAGGCAAGCAGGTCCGGGTGCGAGGCGTGGACGGTGCTGGACAGCCTATCAACCACCTCTACACCATGCATGAGAGGAAGCTGAAGGGACACAAGCAGGGGAGCAGTTACGCAGACTGCGTGAAGCTGTGCCGCAAATTCGCCAAGGACTGCGTGGACAACTTGAACAACCGGCTGGATGACCTTGGGAAGCTGGGGCCGACTAAGCTGTTCCGGGCGGCGAAGTGGCCGAAGATCAAGGCTCAGCGGGAGAAGAAGTGTAAGGAGTGGCTGAACGGATGCAGCAGGCTGTTCCGCAACAAGCTGCCGGGATTCGACCTCAAAGCAGCAGAGAGGGAGCTCCCGACCTTTTGTGCCATCATGGAGAGCCACCATGAGATGGAGAGCTTCACCCAGGGCCTGTCCAACTTTCTCGGGAGTCTTGACTCAAAGAGGTAGGCCAACTTTGAGTAAATGACCCTTGCAGCCTGAAATTTGGTTTGCTAACTGTTTCTGTCGTGTTGTTTCCCTTCCGTTGTGTGAACGCATGCGCCTGGCAGGCGATGGCCCAACCTCGTCCTGCTGTGGCAGGCGCTGGCGGTGCTCCCCCTCTCAACCGTGGAGTGCGAGAGGGGGTTCTCAAGGCAGAACGTCATCAAGTCCTGGATCCGTGGAGCGCTTTGCAACGCGCGACTGGGGGAGCTGATGCAGATATCGCTCCTGAAGTATGAGATCGACTGGCCGGAGGCGCTGGAGGTATGGAGGTCCCTGCGGAGGAGGCGCCCTGCGAAGAGCTTGAAGCTGGCTGTGGCAGAGAGGGAGAGGAAGGGGAAGCAGAAGGAGGGTGAAGATGTGGCTGCCGGACATGCTGGAGAGAACGAGGATGAGGTGGAGGAGGAGGAGGACGATGAGGTGGAGCAGGCCTTCGGCGACGATCAGGAGGTCGTGGGGAGGAAGAAGTGGAAGACAATCCATTCCTGTCGGACGATGAGGACGTGGAGGAGGTGTATCTCATTGACAAGCCTGTGCACTAGATAGCCTAGGGAAGAAAAGAAAGAGCACTCAGTTGTATCATTTTGAAAAATAGTGCACTGTTAATAGCAACCCTGATTCTGTGCAGTGAACCCTGAGCTGTCAGAGTAGGCCTTCGGTTGACACAGAGCCATCAGGGTGGCTGCCTTGCGAAAAATGTGCCATCATAATAGAGGGGCAAAATTTTTACCGGAATCAGGGGGTCCCAAAACGAAACGTCAGCCCTACGCGTAGGCCGACACGGCTGGGCAGTAGTGCACGGTTTGGTGACTACTACGCGTGAAGGTTGGCGAAGCCCCGTTAGCAGTAACGGGCGAACAACGGCTGCTTCTGTACACGGTGTTGACGTACGTGGATAAGGAATGCCGAAAAAGTCCTTACACTTAGCAACCTTATACATTTGGTTTCACTTTCTTGGGAACTAATACGGTCTGATAGTGAATATTTACAACAATATGAGAACAAATGGGGGGGTATAATCAATTTTAGGGTTACCAATTTGTCTCCCCATGACTCGTAGTTCATTCGCTCCACTAATCGGACTATATGGTTTTATCTAGTAGCTTTCCGCGGGCCTTCGAACTGCGGCCCGCACATCCCATCACCCAGGCCGTCCCGTCGCCGGTCGCGCCTCGTTACCTACGCCCGCCGTGCCCCTCTTTCAGCCCATCGTGACCCCCTCTGAGGCCGTTGTGACCCTCTCTCAGCCCGTCGCAACCCTCTCTCAGCCCGTCGCAACCCTCTCTCAGCCCGTCGCAACCCTCTCTAAGCCCGTCGCAACCCTCTCTAAGCCCGTCGCAACCCTCTCTAAGCCCGTCGCAACCCTCTCTAAGCCCGTCGCAACCCTCTCTAAGCCCGTCGCAACCCGTCGCAACCCTCTCTAAGCCGTCGCAACCCTCTCTAAGCCCGTCGCAACCCTCTCTAAGCCCGTCGCAACCCTCTCTAAGCCCGTCGCAGCCCTCTCTAAGCCCGTCGCAACCCTCTCTAAGCCCGTCGCAACCCTCTCTAAGCCCGTCGCAACCCTCTCTAAGCCCTTCGCAACCCTCTCTAAGGGCGTGTAACTTTTTCTGTTTTTGTCAAAAGTCCGGACGGAGCCCCCCAAATCGTCCGAACGGGGCCCCGTCCGGACTGTTGGGACTCAGGTCCGGACGACAGCCCGTTCGGACAACAAATGTGGAACTTTTTGCAGTGTCGAAATTCTGAATGTCGCCGCAAAATGTAACTCACATTACTGAAATTGTAGAGCATCAAGAGTTTCGCAACCGAAGTTACGCGGCACAGTATTGGGCGAGATTTTTAACAGATCGCGCGCCAATGACAGCGCAGCAAAAACTGACGGTCCGATCTGCCGTTCGGACGATGAGAGCAGGGTGTCCGGACCATTTTTAGGCTGAAAAGTGTCAGACATGGTCCGGCCGGTGGCGACGTCGGAGGGGGTCTTGCGAAATACTTGTCGATGTGTTGCGAAGATAGTTACCCTACATATGTCCGGACGGGGCTTCCGTCCGGACGATGAAAAGTAAAAAAGTTACACGCCCTAAGCCCGTCGCAACCCTCTCTAAGCCCGTCGCGGCCGAATTTGGGCATCTGCAGCCAGCGCGCCGAGGCACTGTTGCTAGCAGCGCACGCCGGCCGCGCCGCTTACGTGCTAGCTGAAGCAAGCACGCGCCAGCAGTAGCAGTTACTGCACTAATAGGAGCTGCCAGGGCGCCACCAGCCGCTAGTGCACCAATAGCATGGAAACCTGTCAGCCGAACAGTAGCACCTACTAGTTAGTAGCTACTATGGGTCGCAGGCGGGAGAGGAAAGCGAAAGGCGCTTTAGGAGGCGGTGGGCGGCGAGTGAAGCTCGATCTGTGGGGATCCGAGCCGCCCGAAGGTTCGTTCAGGCGTTTCTGTTCAGTAATTGGCTTGACGGACGCGCTGCCAGTGTGTCGTCCTAGTTGACGTTCGAGTCGACTTGAATGTCGAAGGTTCGTTCGAGCTTCTTAGTAGATAATTGGCGTGACGAAAGCAGTTTCTGTGTGTCGTTCTTTCTACCTTGTCTTACATTAGACGTTTGCTTAAGTTCATCCTTCATATCTTCTGGTCTTTGTTTATGTTCCGAATTCCTCTAACGTTTTGTCCGTTTGACTAACCAGCTCAGCGAACGACTTTCGCGTCCGAGCGTTGTTCATCGCGGTTATTCGCATTCCATCGGATGCGTTTTGGAACCCCTTCATTAATTCCTCTCGGATGTCTTGCCATGCAGCGCCAGACGAAAAGGCGAACTGTTTTGTGTTTTTTTCTTTCTTTCTTTCTTCATGTTACGTCCGTTACTCCCTTTTTTATTTTATCAGATGCACAGGCGGAAGCGAATCCATCAGCCGGGGAAGAGCACTTGTCAGGCGAAGCTCTTCAGAAGGGGGATGGCGACCAGGCACCCTCAGGATTGCCGGCAACTTCTGTGCTGACGTCATCATCGGCAGCAGCAGCAGCAGCTGCTGCTGCTACCGCTGTCGCACCCTTGCCTTCTGTAGAAGGTGCGTGGAAGCTTCCCTTCCTTCCACTCCTACTGTAATGATACCATATAGGTTTATGTGCGACCGTCACGATCGCATGTATTGTCGCGAGGGCGACAATCGAATGGCCTCAAATCAGCAGCGACTTTCAGGCGGATCTTTTTTAGTGTGGATTAAAACGTGCGACGACCAGTGGCCGCACATGCATCAGGGGAATTTGTCAGGCGGATATCGTCAACGATGACAGAGCTGGAATGGAAACTTTTCACACAGATTGCCACGTCATCATCAGCACCATCCAGCTGATAATCAGGGTAGCTGCGCTGCTGCTGCTGACGCTGCTGCTGCTGCTACTGCCCAGCCTCCTCCGATTTCATTGCTCTCTCTTCACGAATCACGTCTGCCACCCTGCCAATCCACCCTGTGATGTGAAGTTGTGAACCCCTGGCCCATGGCGTACTGTCCGCATTGGTGGAAGGGGTCCGGTTTGCCGTCACCACAAGCACAGGCAGACCGTGAGCACTGTGAATGTCCCACCTCTAGTGGCATTGGGAGGGGAAGGGCCGGGTGGTCTAAACGGAGGCGAGGAGAAGGAGGGTTGGTTGGCATGGCTTGGCACGGTGCAATGCGGTGCAGTTGAGTGTTGCAGGTCCATTACAGTCCCTGTGCAGCACTGGAAGAGCAACCGGTGCATCGCGCTCCTCGTGTGACGTCTCCCAGTCTCAGCGCATCAGCAGATTGGGCTCTCCAGCGGTAGGTGCAGGTTTGTGTCCTCTTTCACTGCTCGCCTCTCCCCTTCACTTGATTAGCATGCTTGCAGGCTTGCTGATGATGGTCGCTGATTGATCATTGCTTATATGTTGTCTAGACCAGATGCTGAAAACATGCCGCATATCAGATGCTGAATGCGATGAGTGTCTATGATGGTCTAATGCCCTTGATTGAGGGCATGTGTGTGTCTAACGTCTCACAGGTGCGAGTGACCACGTGACACTTCCTGGATTCTCGGTTTGGGGGGGGAGGGGTGAAAGCCAGTTTGGTTGACGCGATATGGAGAGTCTCAATGCGAAGTCCACTCACTCCCTATTTTCTCGCTTTTCTGCCACTGCCTCCCGTTGTTCTCCCTGTCCCTTGTCTTTTGTTGTTCTCGTCTCGACCTCTCTCCTTTCTCTCTCCCAGGCACCAAGGCACCGGACCCTCTCTCGCTTCTAGGGGCGTATAGCGATGAGGAGGAGGAGGAAGACGAGGAGGAGGATGAGGGGGAGGGGGGAGAGGCGGAGACCGGGGAGAGGGATGTTAGCAATGCGGAGGAGGGTGATGCGGTTGAGATGGATGATGAGGTAATTGTGCGGGCGTGTAGGTGTGTGTAGGCGCGCGCGCGTGTGTGTGTGTGTGTGTGTGTGTGTGTGTGTGTGTGTGTGTGTGCGTGTGTGTGTGCGCGCGCGTGTGTGAGTGTCTATAGGCGTGTGTGTCTATGTTGGCATACACGCGTTTAGCGTATATACGCGAAACCCTAGGGTTTCAACGGGTAGGTTGGTTGAGACAGCTGGGAGAGTAGGTTGGTTGAGACAGCTGGGAGAGTAGGTTGGTTGAGACAGCTGGGAGAGTAGGTTGGTTGAGACAGCTGGGAGAGTAGGTTGGTTGAGACAGTTGGGAGAGAGTAGGTTGGTTGAGACAGTTGGGAGAGTAGGTTGGTTGAGACAGCTGGGAGAGTAGGTTGGTTGAGACAGCTGGGAGAGTAGGTTGGTTGAGACAGTTGGGAGAGTAGGTTGGTTGAGACAGTTGGGAGAGTAGGTTGGTTGAGACAGTTGGGAGAGTAGGTTGGTTGAGACAGTTGGGAGAGTAGGTTGGTTGAGACAGTTGGGAGAGTAGGTTGGTTGAGACAGTTGGGAGAGTAGGTTGGTTGAGACAGTTGGGAGAGTAGGTTGGTTGAGACAGTTGGGAGAGTAGGTTGGTTGAGACAGTTGGGTGGGAGAGTAGGTTGGTTGAGACAGTTGGGAGAGTAGGTTGGTTGAGACAGTTGGGAGAGTAGGTTGGTTGAGACAGTTGGGAGAGTAGGTTGGTTGAGACAGTTGGGAGAGTAGGTTGGTTGAGACAGTTGGGAGAGTAGGTTGGTTGAGACAGTTGGGTGGGAGAGTAGGTTGGTTGAGACAGTTGGGAGAGAAGGTTGGTTGAGACAGTTGAGAGAGTAGGTTGGTTGAGACAGTTGGGAGAGTAGGTTGGTTGAGACAGTTGGGAGAGTAGGTTGGTTGAGACAGTTGGGAGAGTAGGTTGGTTGAGACAGTTGGGAGAGTAGGTTGGTTGAGACAGTTGGGAGAGTAGGTTGGTTGAGACAGTTGGGAGAGTAGGTTGGTTGAGACAGTTGGGAGAGTAGGTTGGTTGAGACAGTTGGGAGAGTAGGTTGGTTGAGACAGTTGGGAGAGTAGGTTGGTTGAGACAGTTGGGAGAGTAGGTTGGTTGAGACAGTTGGGAGAGTAGGTTGGTTGAGACAGTTGGGAGAGTAGGTTGGTTGAGACAGTTGGGAGAGTAGGTTGGTTGAGACAGTTGGGAGAGCAGGTTGGTTGAGACAGTTGGGAGAGTAGGTTGGTTGAGACAGCTGGGAGAGTAGGTTGGTTGAGACAGCTGGGAGAGTAGGTTGGTTGAGACAGCTGGGAGAGTAGGTTGGTTGAGACAGCTGGGAGAGTAGGTTGGTTGAGACAGCTGGGAGAGTAGGTTGGTTGAGACAGCTGGGAGAGTAGGTTGGTTGAGACAGCTGGGAGAGTAGGTTGGTTGAGACAGCTGGGAGAGTAGGTTGGTTGAGACAGCTGGGAGAGTAGGTTGGTTGAGACAGCTGGGAGAGTAGGTTGGTTGAGACAGCTGGGAGAGTAGGTTGGTTGAGAGGTGAGTTCAACGTGACCTCAAAAGAAACCATGTTTTTAGGGTGGGAGCGTGCTTGTCGCGAGTTTTACGGTGCCTCGACATTTGCCCCAAACAGAACCTCTCAAAGACTGCTGAAGTGCATCATTCCCCCTCGCTCTCTCCTCCTCCTCTCTCCTCTCCTCCGCCTCTTCGCACTTTCTCCTCCCCCTATCCTCTCTCTTCGTCTTCCGTCCCCTCCCCGCCCGTCAGATGCTGGCGTTCATGTCTGAGTTGAAGGAGAGCGGCCTATTGGACGAGCAGGGAGGGAACACACGGGACGAGACGGAGCGTGCGAGAGAAGAGGAGGGTGCTGAGGGGAGTGCGGGAGAGGAGGAGAGGGCCGAGGGGGATGTGCCGAAAGGGGAGGCTGGGAGCGAAAAGGAGGAGGTGGGGAGCAGGGAGGGGGAAAATAGTAAAGAGGAGAAGACGATAGATGGTGAAGGGAGGTTTGAAGAGGAGGGAGAGGGAGGTCGAGGTGGGAGTGGGGGGGCAGCAGAGGCAAAGAGCAAAGCTGACCGGCAGAGTGATGCTTGGGAAAGCCGTGAGAAGCAGGAGGGGAAGGAGAAGGGCGGGGAGGTGCAGGAGGGAGAGGGAGAGGAAAGCACAGGGGAGGCAGGCAGGGAAGGAGTAGATGGTGAGAGTGCGCATGGAGCTGGTAGCTCTGTTGTGCCTTCCCGTGGCGGTGCTGCTGCTAGCGTGTGGCAGGCTGTGTTGGAGCCGGAGAGTGGCGAGTACTACTACTGGAACACCGTCACTGGGGAAACCTCCTGGTCAGCTCCGGACGAGGTTGTGCCAATTGAGGGTGCTGGGACTGCGGTGGGCACGTTAGAGGGCGGTGAGGGAGTGGAAGAGAAGGGGGGAATGATTGAGGGAGATGAGGTGGTGGGAAGGTGTGAGGGCGAGAGGAGGGAGAGAGGGGAGGAGAAAGGGGAGGAGAAAGGGGAGGAGAGAGGGGAGGAGAGAGGGGAGGAGAAAGGGGAGGAGAGAGGGGCGGAGAAAGGGGAGGAGGAGAGTGGGGAGGAGGGTGGTGAAGAGAGAGAGAGGGAAGCAGATGAGGCGATGGGAAGTGCAGGGGAAGGAGATGGGGTTAAGAGGAGGGAGAGGGAAGGGGAGCGGATGAAGCAAGAGGACAGGGCTGTGCGAAAGGAAGGGGAGATGCAGGAGTGTGCGGAAGAGCATGCGGGGATGGACGAGGAGGGCAGTGACGGTTTGCATGCAGGTGAGGCCGTGGATGCTGCTGTTCCTCGCTCTGTTCTTGAGGGCTCAAGGGAGCAATCAGAGGGACAAGTAGCTGAGCGCCACCTAGCAGGAGGTGCTGCTGACGTGGTGAGCGCCGTTGCCATGGCCGCAATGCTGCAGTCCTTGCAGGAGCAGGTCGACTCAGCAGAGGCTGAGCTGGCAGCAACAGCTGCTGACGTGGCGGATAAGATGGGTGACGCGGTATCCAGGCTGGAGTCCGTGCAGCAGCAGCTGACAGCCATCGAATCCAGGCTTCCTGCTCCTCCCCTCACCTCTAACACTTCACCCTCTCTTCCTTCCTTCCCACTGTCCTCCTCACTCTCCGCTTCTCTCACTGCCCTCTCCTGCTCTCTCACTCGCCTGCAGCTAGAGGCCTCCATCCGCCTGTCAGATCTCTCTTCCATCTCCCACCGATTTGCACAGGCGTCTGCAGCAGCAGCTGTAGCAACTGCTGTAGCGCCCCCCACCACTGCAGCTGCTGCCCCTAGAGCCTCTGCGGCTGAGGCACCCCTTTCTGCTCCAGCTGTAGCTCCGTTATCCTCTGCTGGGTTGCCAGAACATGTCGTGGTACAGCCGTGGCAGGAGCTGCAGCAGCGGCTGCTACAGGTGCACGTACAGCAGGGCTTGCAGACAGGGCTGCTGGTGGTTGTGGGGCGCTGCTTGGAGCAGGTGGGGCGAGTGGAGGGAGAGAGTGAGGAGGTGCAGGGGAGAGTGGAGAGAGTGGGGGAGCAGTGGGAGGAGGAGAAGCGACGGTGGGAAGAGAAGCGACGGCAAGAAGATGAGGAAAAGCAACGGCAGGAGGAAGAGGAGGAAAGAAAAGCGCGGGAGGTAAAGGAGAAAAAGGAACGATCGGAAGAGGAGGAGCGACAGGTGAGAGAAGAGGAGAGGTTGAGACAGGAGGAAAGGCAAAGACGGGAAGAAGAGGAGGAGAGGAATGAGCAGGTGAGGCGGGAGGTTGCAGAGAAGGTGAGAGAAACAGGGAACCAGAACCAGGAGGAACGGGGAGGGGTGGAGAGGGGTTCTGGTGCGGCCTGGAAGGGTATGGAGCAGTACTCAGCATCAGAGAGTGGGGAGATTTCTCCAGAGGGAGAGGAGGAAGGAGAGGAGGAAGTGGAGGGAAGAGCAGGAAAGCAGGCTGTGGGTGGTGGTGGAGACGAGGATATGGATGTGGAGATGGAGTTGGTTGGGGTGGAGGGAGCAGCAGGAGTGCGTGTGGCACAAGGGGCAGGAGGGGGAGTGGAGGCAGCACAAGGGGTAGGCCATGGAGGGGCAGGGTATGGAGGGGCAGGGTATGGAGGGGCAGGGTATGGAGGGGCAGGGTATGGAGGGGCAGGGTATGGAGCAGGAGGAGGAGTGGATGGAGGAGGGGCAGGGCATTCGTCTCTACCACCAGCATCACCACCACCTCCTCTCCCTCCGTCCCCTCCCCCGCAACCGCCGCAATCCCCACCTCCCCCTCCCCCCCCTGACGCGCCTGAACCCTTGCCCCCTCCTGCTGAAGCTCGTGCTGCTGACGCCAGTACAAGTGCTGCTGACGCCAGTACCAGCGCTGCTGACGCCGCTGCTGTTCATGCTGCTGCTCTTAGTGCTGCTGCCACTGCGTATGCCTCTGACCCTGCCACTGCGTATGCCTCTGACCCTGCCAATGCTTCTGCAGCAACAGCAGCAGCAGCTACAGCAGCAGCAGCAGGTGACTGGCCGTATACAGCCACAGCAGCACCATATGCCTACGATCCAGCAGCAGCAGCAGCAGCAGCAGCAGCAGCAGCTTCAAGCTATGATCCTTCTGCTGCTGCATGGGCTTCTCATTATGCTGTCTATGCAGCAGCAGCAGCAGGAGCAGCAGCAGAGCCGCCAGCAGGGTACACAGCAGAAGCAGCTTACTACCAGGCATACTCAGACAAGTACGGTTACACCCCCACCTACCCCACTCCCACCACTGTTTCGTCTGCCCCTGTAGCATACTCTGCTGCCCTCACTGCTCCTACATTCGCCCCTGCTGCTACAGCCACTACTGCTGCTACAGCCACTAGTGCCACCCGTCGGCCTCGTGTTGTGGTTGCTGCACCAGCATTGGTCAGACCAGCAGCAGCAGCAGCAGCAGCAGCATCAGGTGGTGGTGCTGATGGTGGTGCAGCGAGAGAGGAACGGGAGGCATCATGCAGTGGAGCAGACGAGGGGGGCCAAGGCACAGCTTCTGCTGCTCGTGCTGCTGCCTCCTCCTGCTCCTCCTCCTGCTGCTGCTGCTGCTCCTGTGCTTTCCACAATGGAGGCTGTAGCTGCTGCTGTTGCTGCGGCCAAACAGCAGGCAGAAAAGGGTGCGTGTGCTAGGGTGCGTGTGCTAGGGTGCGTGTGCTAGGGTGCGTGTGCTTGGGTGCGTGTGCTAGGGTGCGTGTGCTAGGGTGCGTGTGCTAGGGTGCGTGTGCTAGGGTGCGTGTGCTTGGGTGCGTGTGCTTGGGTGCATATGAAGTTTTCCGTGCGGTAATTTGCTTTCTTCTGTCACCATCATTCCTCCGTCCCTTTTTCTTTCCCTCCACCCCTGCCCTTTTTTCCCTCGTCTCGCCGCTCCTCATTCTGTTTCGCTGTGTGCCTCCTTGCATCTCTCTTCATCTCTTTGCAACCCTGTTAGTCTAATCAGACCCCTTCTCATCTCCTCGCACCCTCTAGGAATCCTTGCAACTCACCTGTCGTCCCATAGAGGAATTCAATCGAGTTCGGGAAGATAGCATGCATATGATCCTCTTTACAACTCGAATTCTCCCTTCCGTGCTTCTTTCGTTCACATGGGCCCTCGGGCTCTCTTTGCAGCCCCCACCCCTCTCCTCTCCTGCCTCCTCCTCACACTTTAGACCCTTACTGAAGACCCCCAATTCCAACCACGCAGCGGGAAAGCCGAAGCGAAAACCATGCAATGCAAGCACACACCTCCTTCCAATCTCAAATGTCCCTGGCTTCTCGTATTCCCCTGTGTTGTCTCCTCGCACTGTCCACCCGTGCAGCAGCAAAGCCCAAGACGAGAGCAGCAGTGGGAGGGCGTGCAAGCACACAAGCAACCCCCACCTTTGACTTCCAATTTCCACATTCTGCCTCCTCACACTCTCCATGATTCCTCGCAACTTCTGGGCCACCGCTGTTTTGAGGCGCCTATAATATAACCCACCATATTCCTCATCTTGTCTCCTCACACTCTCTGTATGCTCACACGCTTCACTGCACCCCCCCTTCCCCCACCCCGTTCCTCTCCCCCCTTCCTGTATTTTATGCAGCAACAAAGCTCAAGCGGAAAGCGGCAGTGGGAGGGGCACATGCAACCAAGAAAGTGTCTTCGCTGGTTAACAAGGTGAGTGTGAAGAATATAGTTTGAACAAGTGATTTCATTAGAGGTGAAACCTAGCATACATAGGTGGAAGAAAGGGTTGGAGGGGAAGGATGAACCTAACCATAGGCTGGGTTGTCCTCACTTGGGAAGTGAGGCAACCATAGGTGGTGTGGGTTGGGTTGCCCACACTTTGTGGAAGTGTGGCAACTATAGGCCCACTTGGCTTGAGGTGACCTCAATTGTGAAAATGAGGCACCTATAAGCCAAGTGGGTTGCATTTGGGGGCTCCACCACAATTGGGTGGATTGGCACTCCAAAATGCAAGACTACACCCAATGTTGGGTGTAGTCCCAACCCAACTGTACACCACAATTGGTGTACAGTCACATGTGCTTAGCATGCTACACAATATATAATTTTAACACAACCCCTTAGCATGCGAACACAAGAAGGGAACAACCCCTGAATCAAGGGGCGCCCGGGCGAGCGAGACCAATGAGGCGGAGGAAAGCGGAGTGCGCAGGGCGAAGAAGGGCCTTGGTGAAAATGTCGGCCAAGTTGGCCTCGGTCGCAATTTTGCGAACGGCAATAAGGCCCTTCTGGACAAGCTCGCGAATAAGGAAGTAGCGGAGCTCGATGTGCTTGGAGCGGGCATGATAGACAGGGTCCTCAGTGAGATGGATGGTGCTGGCATTGTCGCACCAGAGAGTGGGGCACGTCTGGGGGGCGCCAAGCTCTGCAAGAAGGAAGCAGAGCCAGCGGGACTCCTGAGCGGCCATGGTGCCGGCGTAGAGCTCGGCCTCGCAGGTGGAGAGAGAGATGGCGGAGGAGCGGGTGGAGCGCCAGCTGATGAGGCCGCTGCCAAGGGTGAAGCCGTAGCCCTGGGAGGAGCGGCGGTCCGGCTGCGTGTCTGCCCAGGAGGAGTCACTGAAGCCCGAGAGAAGAGGAGGGGAAGGGCCGCCAAGGGTGAGGGCAAGGTCCTTGGTCCCTCGAAGGTAGCGGAGGACCCGCTTGGCGGCTTTCCAGTGCTCCTCACTGTGGCGGCCGGTGCCGACGAAGCGAGCGAGCAAGGACGCTGACGGGGTAGGCGAGGTCGGGGCGGGTGCACATCATCGCGTACATCAGGGACCCAACGAGCTCGGCATAGGGTGGGGGGAGGAGGTGGGAGAGGTGGGTGGAGCAAGTTGGTGGCCGAAAGGGAGGGGGGTGGAGACGGGCTTGGCCTGCGCCATGTCGAACTTCTCCAAGACCTGGCCGATGTAGTGGGACTGGGAGAGGGTGATGGTGCGAGCAGGGCGGTCACGCGTGATGGCCATGCCCAGGTAGTGGGTGAGGGCGCCAAGGTCTTTGCACTTGAGACGCTGCTGCAGGGACAGCTTCATCTGCTCCATGTCGGCTTTGGTGTCGGAGAGCAGGATCATGTCGTCCACATACACCAGAATGAAGAAGCGGCGGGGGGAGGAGCGGATGAAGAGGCTGGCGTCAGAGTGGGAAGCAGAGAAGCCGAGTGACCCTAAGGTGGCAGCCAGCTTTGCATGCCACTCGCGCGGCGCCTGCTTCAAGCCGTAGACAGGGCGACGCAGCTGCCAGACAGTGTTCTCAGGGAAAGCTACGTGGAACCCGGGTGGTCGCCGGAGGAAAATGCGCTCGTGCAGGTCACCCTGCAGGAACGCATTCGAGACATCCATGGAATCGATCTCCATGTTGTCACGCGCACCAATGTCAAGGGCTGCGCGAAGGGTGGGGGGTTTGGCGGCGGGGGCGTAGGTGGCCCAGAAATCCTCCCCATGTGTCTGTGTGAAGCCCTTGGCGCAGTAGCGGGCTTGTAGACCGGTACCTCGTCGGGCAGCTGCTTCACCCGAAAGACCCACTTGCCCTCGACAAGATTGGCATCGGCGGGGAGGGGGACGTCGACGAAGGAGTCGTTGCGGATAAACGCCTCGCACTCCTGGAAGATTGCTGCTATCCACTTGTCCGCGTCAGGGCATGTGATGGCCTCTTGGAAGGTGGAGGGAGTGAAGATGGTGGGGGTGGAGGTGGCGCCGAGGACGGGGAAGCCAAGGAAGTCAAGAAAGAGGGTGGCGAGAAATGGAGTGTGCTGCTGGATGGTGAGGAACTCCTCGTGAGAGTCCTCAAGAAGCTGAAGGGAGGCAGGAGGAGGGGCACCAAGGATGCCGTCAAGGGAGCGAGTGTGCATGCGAGGGAGGAGAAAGGGGGAGGAGCGGGATGTGGCGCGTTGCTGCTGTGGTTGCTGCTGCAGGTGCTGCCCTTGCTGCCGCAGCTGCTGCCCCGGCTGCTGCTGCTGCTGCTGCTGCTGCTGTTGCCCCTGCTGCTGCTGCTGCTGCTGCTGCGGATGTCCCATGCTGCTGCTGCTGCTGCTGCTGCCCCGGCTGCTGCTGCTGCTGCGACTGCTGCGGCTGCTGCTGCTGCTGCCCCGGCTGCTGCTGCTGCTGCCCCGGCTGCTGCTGCTGCTGCCCCGGCTGCTGCTGCTGCTGCCCCGGCTGCTGCTGCTGCTGCCCCGGCTGCTGCTGCTGCTGCCCCGGCTGCTGCTGCTGCTGCCCCGGCTGCTGCTGCTGCCGTTGGTCCGGCGGCTGCAGCTGCTGCTGCTGCAAGGGGGGGGAATGAGAGGAGGAGGGAGGGGAAGGAGGGGGTGCGGCTGAGTGGGCGGGGGAGGCAGGTGTGGCGGGGTCATAGACATCAGCAGAGGAGGAAGGTGGGAGAGGGGCAGCAACTGGTGGGAGGAGAGGCGCGGGAGGGAGGAGAGGCGGGAGGACGGTATCTGTCCAGGCGAGGGGGCGAGTGGGAGGAGGGAGAGGGTCAGGGGGAGGAGTGGAGTAGTAGGGAATGGATTCGTCGAAGACGACGTCGCTGCTGCGGATGAGGCGATTGGTGGGGGGGTGGAGGAAGAGATATTCTGGGGAGTCGCGGTTGTGCCCAAGGTAAACGCACTCCAGGGCGCGAGGAGCAAGCTTGCCAGCGGCGCGAGAGCGGTCTGCGGGTGGAATGAGGACGAAGACCTTGCAGCCCCAGACCCGAAAGCCGGCAGCGTCAGGCTTGGCCTTGGACCAGAGCTCTGTGGGGGAGGAGGATGGATGCTGAGGGTGGGAGCGAAGGTTGAGGAGGAGGGCAGCATGGAGGAGGGCATAGCTCCAGAGGGAGGGAGGGGTGGAAGCATGAGCAATGAGGCAGCGAGCAATTTTGGTGATTTCACGAATGCGGCTCTCAGCGACGCCATTTTGCTGAGGGGAGTGGGGGAGGGTGGAGGTCTGTTGAATGCCATGGGTGGTGCAGTAAGAGGCGAGTGTGTGGTTGATGAACTCACCACCACCGTCCGAGTGAAGACGGCCGATGGGGCGTTTGAAGTGGTTGCGGCACAGCTCAGCCCAGTTGATGACCACAGCCGGCACCTGGTCTTTCGTGTGAAGAAAGAATACAGTGGAATACCGACTGTGGTCGTCGACGAGGACGAGCATGTATCTGTGCCCCTGGCGGGAGCGGATGGGATAGGGGCCCCAAAGATCCATGTGGACAAGGTCAATGGGGGCAGCGGCGAAGGTGGGATGACTGTGGTGGGGTGACTGTTTGAGTTTGCCATGGATGCAAGAAGGGCATGGGGGAGAGGGGGAGGAGGGGGGGGGGGTAAGACGGGAGGGAGGCTGCGAAGGAGGCGAGAGGTGACTGTGGTGCGAAGTGCGGTGAAGTTGGGGTGGCCGA